GTTTATTATTAGCAATGTTCTTCCGACGTGTGATTTCTTTTTAAAAAATGCGTTTCTAAAGTGCATAAACGTTTGGGATTGACTGTATAGCCAATACATCCTTAAGTATGGATTAGTGGTATAGTGAGTTTATCGTGACTTCTGGTCTTTCAATTGTTAGAATCATTGATTGTGCCAGCTATAATATTTTTGGAATTACACGATGAAGGATGTCAATTTTAATAGGGGTAAATTTAACAACGGAATGAATTGAGCAATTTCTAATTAGAGGATCGGTACTGGTAGCAGCGAGCAATGATTAAACGGTCGAATTTTAGGATATTCGCTCCCGGCTGGTGTGGATCTCTGGCACGGTTTTGAGTACAGTTTAAACACGTGAAATTACAGGGGTCGAACAACGTTTCCGAATCGTCTCGAAATACACGTTGTAGCGCGCGTGAATTTCCTTCATCGCTCGAATCTCTCGGTCCCGTCCACTATTTTCGAGTGCTAATTACACCAGTCCGCGCGATGACTGCGCCGTTTGAACACGACGTATAATTAATGCCATTAGTGCGAGACTAATGCACGCGGAACGAGGAAGGACAGAGAGGCTGATAGGAGGAGAGGAGGGGAAGGGTTCTGTGCTTCTATTATTCTACCGGTTGATGGAGATTTAAATGCGGCCGGATATATGGAGTCGGGGGTTACAGAAACAAACAACGACGGTACCCATCGATTCTAATTATTATTATCGCTGCTTTGTCAGCTATTTTTCTCATTACCGCAGTTGAATTGGAGATCGATCGCCTCGCCTGTGGCGACGATTAAACCAACCTTAGAAAAACTTGACGTGTACAGATGCACTTACATACATTTCAACTAGCTGAGCAGACGTTCCGTGTTTTAGTAACTATTTTTGTACATGTTTTACATGAACGACAAACGTATGTATTAATTGATATTCTGTTTTTCATGAATGTTTCACACATTCGTATGGATAATCTTTTTTTTTTAAAAAAAAAACATCGTTTATTCAATTGACCCTTGTCAGTCCCGCAGTTGTCATTGTTTCAAAACCGTTTCTAAATCGTATGATAGGCAGTATCATAACACAGCCACAGTCTCAGCTGTTTTCCTGCGTTTCGTTCGTTTTGCAGTTGAACGCGAACGGGTCGCTCCAATTCGAAACGGCCTCCGACTAGCCGGCTAGCTCGGTTGACTAGTCGGATGACTGGCTGGCTAATCGTACATCAGTAGGGGAATTAGAATTTTTTCATTACCCCAGCTAATTATTACACGCGAGGCGTTGCCACGTTATTAACAAGTATAATTGGTTTCACTTTGCAGGCTGGTGGCCTCGATTTAAAGGAAAATGTTGCCGTTGGAGCCACGGCTGCGTGGCCTTACCCATCCGTCTACCACCCTTACGACGCCGCCTTCGCCAGTTACCCCTTCAATGGGTGAGTTTGTGGAATCATTTATCGTATCTATTTCTCGATGGAGATTATACGTATTGTGCGATATTGAATGCAAGTCGCATTTGCAAATTGATAAGGAAGGGTTAGAGGTGTACCGACAAGGAAATCATGAATTACAAATCAACTACATTTACTAAATTTCGATTAAATAGGAAAAACTGATATTTTGTTTAGAGCACATTAGTAAAATTGAAGAGTAACAAGATATCTTCGGATATTAATATTAGAAATGTCTTTTCTCTTTGCACGATAGTTTTTAAAATCGAACTATGGAACCCAACAGATTTTATTTCATGAGAGAGTTAAGACACACTGTCACGTATTTGGGAAAACGCGGTAAGGTCGGATTATTACTGGGAAAGCCTATGTCTTTCCCTGTCAAAGTGGTATCTGTGCCAAATCCTAAATGGCGAGTATCACTTCAGGCAATTAGGGGATCACGTTTATAGACGATTTAGAAAGAAATATTGCGTATTTAAAAGTCCAGACGGTCTCTAAAGGATTTTAAATAGAATAATACCGTATAAAAAATCTTCCAACGTAATCAAAGTATAACCCATAATAATTTTAATTATTAGAACAGTATTGTGATCGAGCGGACAAATCTTGTTCAATTCTCGAGGAAGAAGCTCGTGTCTTAAATTTCTCTACTTCCTACTATTTGCATATCATTTGTTTATCATTTTTATTTCCTCGATGAGTCATCGGATAAACCGAGTGACATCGCACGGAAAGTTTTTCCATACCGGAATTATCTGAACCTAGTCTCTCGAATCTTGGCGTCACGCGTGCCTGGCTTCTCGCACGAAATCTCGACAATTTAGAGAAAGAAGAGAAGAGTTAGAGGCGGCCGGCGTCTTTTCCCTTACCCCTTTGACACACTCTGACGTGCGTCTCACCAGTAACTAACAGGCGCTGGCTCTCTCGCGGTTGAGCTAGCCGATAAACTCGCCAACACATAAACATTCCAATAAATTAGCGCTCCGTTGACCCGAGACTGTCGCCTTGGGCGTTTTTATTCTCGCGCTCAGAATCGGTCAACGCGTGTCACCGGTGAAAGGTCTCGCCCCTTTCTGATAAATCAGTAGCCGGGGTGATATCGTCCGCTCCGGTCCGAGATTACAAATATTCGGAGTCGCTGCCTGTCGACAGCTAGATGTCGAGAAAAGAAAGCTGACCACCGAGCATCCACAGTAATTAGCCCCTTGTCATCTTTCGTCTACGTTTCCGCTCACTCGTTCAAAAAATTTTTCAATTTTTACTCGTTCCCTACTACGTTCGTCCCTCCGATATTTCGCTCTCGTATCGTTATCACCGCTTGTTACTGCCACGGCGTAGCGTCTGTAGGGACGCGAAATTAAAACGCCCCAAAGCGATTTGTAACCGTGCTTTTACGACTCGCTAATGGAATCGGTAATCGTGGACAATTAGAAACAGGGTGCCGTGTCACATACAATGAAATGCAATAGGAGGGATAATATGCGTTAGCACAGAAAAGGAAGCAGCTACGTTCGCGCAATAATTTTACTTTCATTCGTCGATTTAATACAATCGGCACTATACTTAAAACGTCGCATACGTTGCCTACGTATAACAAATTGAGGACACTTAAAAAAAACTGCACGATTTTGATTCGCTGTACGATATCTAATCCTCCTCTAACAAACTTCCATATTCTTAATTCTAATTTCTGATTAAAGAAAGGAAAAGAAATATACTGTAAACAAGAAAATTACTAATTATCTAAATAGCGACTTATGCCCCGTCATATATTATACTTATAACAAAAACGCATTAATCTCTGTTTCTCTGTTCTATGAATGCGTAAATAAAGTTGCAATTACGATAAAAGACGTCTGACCGATATCGGCGGTTCCAATCGGTTTTAGAGAAGATTCTAGAGAAACGGTTCGGACGGATGATCTCGCGATCACGTATTCCAACGACCTGGTGACAACGTCGTCGTTGCGTTGTCACCTCGTGGAATCTATACACCGTCGCACCGCGCGTGACGCACTTCCGGTCGGAGACTGCTTCGTATGCAAGGAAGCGATCGGGTACTACAGCTTGCTTAGCATCCATTCGGTCTGGTCGGCTCGCGGCGGGCACCGGGTCTTCCATTACGGTAGACCTACCGCACCGGAACCACCCGGCCGAACGATAACAATTACCGGAAGATCCGAGGATGCACCTGCGAGCCACGAGATTTACTTCGCCTGTGTTATCTTTGATTTTGTTACAGGCTCGTGTCACTTCCTTTCTCTGGTGATTTTTATTCTTAGAAAATTAACAGCGAATGTTACACGAAGTGTTTGCTTAAATTTGCCGCGGTGTTGATTGATACGTTTTAATTTCTCGCCATTTCATTTGTCAAGATAAGTCGAGCCGGCCGTAACACCGCTCCTTCCATGTTCTTGATTCCTCTTTTAATTCAATCAGCAGATATAAATATACGTTAATTGATGCACGTGGCCAGAGATAATGGGCGGTGATTCGATTAAATCGAGATCAAATTCAAAACTCGATGAGATACTAATGGAATCAATTTTCCTCTGTCAGCGACAACAACACGTGCTGTCGCGCCGCTTATCGAGACAACGAATAACTTAGCGTATTAATTACGCTACTTAAAAAGCAAGGATAATGTACGCCTGAGTAGTTTGTAGTTAAGCAAAACTCGTTCATCGCCGGCCATTACCATTTACATATCCATGTATTTTCATAAACAACGAACACGTTTACATACCTTCCATCGGTCGCGTTCACTTAATAAATAATTAACGTACAAGGTTTTTTTTATTCTTAAGATTGTATGAGTCGTAAAATCTCTGCCAAAAGTTTAAGACATGTAATAAACTTTTAGAAAAGATGATAATAATTATAGAGGAGTGAGGTTTAAAAAGTTGTTCGTCCTGCTCTTCTCGGTTAAAAGGAATTTTTAACGTTCTGTAATTATTACTTTTACATACTTTTTATTGTATATCTTAAATAATATCCTCGAAATTGACATTATTTGAGCTTTAACATATTCTTAAATCATGTATTAAGAATTATACTAAATTACAAAATTCTGTTATTACTGTATTCATATTTTTCCATAAATGAAATCAAAATTCTGTGATTCGACATGAGAATTTAATACGTAATAACTTTTTTAATAGTTTATAAATTTTGTACAGTGTTTCATTGTAATATTTAGTACCAGTTAAAATTTCAATGCTTTGTCATTGTTTTTATATGAGGGTCCATATATCTTTAACAAAATCGATCAATCTACTTCGTCCGTTTTCCGGTCACATGATACTTGATCAAGACTTATTTTCAGATGAATATGTAAATAAGAGCTGGGTGCAATATTTATTTTTTATGTCAACCGACACTAATTCCACATTGTCACAGGAAGCATGCGTAACTCTGTTCCCGGAGAAGTGATTAATAACGCTAAGTCGACGTGCATGTAACAATAAATTATTGTATCAATAATAAGCATGAACCGTTTAGAATTACTAGCGCTTACGCAACACGAAGTCGTTAATCGTCTACCAACAGCATTCCTGATTCTTTGTCACTAAATGAAAAACAGTAACCCACAGTGTCGTAGAAAATTGAATCAACCCTGTTAATTATTAGAGAATTGTGAGAACTCCACAATGGATAATTAGCGATTCTTTTATTCAAAGAATATTTATTAAAACCAGTGATTAAAAAATCGCCAAGGTGACAAGAGTCAAGAGAAAGAAAAAGAGAGATGCTATGCCCGAGGCGCGTTTGACATGAGCATACAAAATGCCGATAATGCAGAACGTTGGCATGCACGACCGCGAGGTCTCCGGGATCGTACGGGTTAACGGTCTCGTCCTTCCGGTGGATTGGCCCTGCTTCCGGGGACATATAGGGTAAACAATAAGAAACAACCGTGTAGCTCGAGCGCGCACCTCGCGCGGTTGTAAGTACTTACATACATACGAGTGCGCATTACGTGCGCTGCGTTCCTATGCCTGGTTTCGACTTCCCTCTCGGTCGAAGCCGCGCCCGACCGGCTGATCGACGACTACGACGAAATCGACACGTATTATTAAGTATGTCCGTATATTATTAAGCGCGTCCGTACAACGACCGATGTGTCGGCACGCGCTGCGAACCTCAGCCGCGTTTAAGGACATACGAACGACCCGCGAATCCCTAATCGCGTCGTCGAAACAGGTGCGCGAGTCGATTTCTAGTTACGAACATGGTGATACTGGAGAAAAGATTTTATTCTCGTGTAATAAATCCACGTACGCAATAAATTCGACTCCGTAATATAAAAAATGAGGAATCGATAGTGAATCTTGAAATGTCATTTGCAGATTAAATTTATAAATGAAGCTACTGTTCCTATTTATTAATGTACCAATTAGTATATATGTTTCATATTAAATTACAGTTTGAAACAGATAACAGGTAATAAAAAATTAACGAGTTCTATAAATGAGATTACCTCACTACAAATTTATTCCAATAATTGAAAAAGTGAAGGCGTTCGATTTTGTTTTACTCGATCATGAACGGAAATTGGGTATCAGTCGAATTGATTTTCGACGCTAACTCGGTTTGCTTCCCACTAATTTGATAAGATTAAACAGAAATTTTACACGGAAAGGTCCCTGTACGATTCTAAAACGTACATTGTATTTCACCTTTGTCAGTCAGATAGGTTTAAGTATCGAAAGTGAACATACTGTGCGCATTATCTAACCATGTATTTACCAAAATGTGAAGCGATACTATCATTGACGACTCACTACTATCGTGAACCGCTTAGCGTTGCCAGCGGCCAGTGTACTAAATGCGCGCCGGAACGATAAGATCGCTTATTTGATTTACGCGTTGGTTAGCGAGTAAGTACTACTCGCTGCCAACCCCTTTTGAAAGCCACGCCAAATATTTGCCGTCTTCGCTAGCGGCAATCGCATTATGATACAATCGAACCGGCGCGCGCT